GAAAGTTGGCGATCTGGCTCTATTTTATAGATATTTTCGTGGAAGATGCGCTCCTGGAATATCAACAATTGTTCTTCCCTTGGCAGTCCCCGCGAGATTTACCCGTCGAGTTGAGACTTCGCACCACTTCGTTGTCACTTTGGAGACTTGCAGAACATCTCTTTCCAAAGACTCGTTCATCCAACGAACAGCGAGGCTCTGGAACACATTGTCAAGGCATCTAACCTCCAGAAATTCAAGGAGAACACCAATTCCTTCCCTATTTCCCTTGGTTCTCACGATGTTCTCTGAACATTACAGGATATCCCGTTTCGTAGGAACCAGAACATAAAAAAAGCCTTCCGGCAACCAATATACAGTGAATGTTGGGAAATATTGGTTTCAAGTATTGGGACAATGAATTGATGTAAACATTTGAGTTTGCATCTTGTTCCGATATAATAATAATAAAACAATTCATTCACTTATAATAATAAGAATGGAATAATTCTGAATCAGAGTAGTAAAAAAATCAGAGAACCACTGAAGGGAAACCTTTGAAAGTGGTAATTATCATTATTATAATACCATAATCAATATCACTGATGTGAATAACTATATATACTCTAATGTCTAATGGTATATGCTCTATATTCTATACAATATCGAGTTTATATTCGTATACAAGATTGGACAAAGATATGATGCCAACTTATTGAAACAGATTTCTTTCAATTCTGGCCAAATATAATATTCAATCAATATCGTATTTCGTTTTTGCAATTCAAAATTCGAAGCCATATTAGCCTCATTGGACAAAAATTGCGATTTTGGTATTAAATGCATTCAACTTCGAATAATTCTTGTGTGCCATATTTGATTAATGCATTTTGTTCTCATAATATTTATAAATGGAAAACTATTAGATTAGATTAGAATAAACAGTGTAACTACAAAAATAACATATTCTAGAGAATTCATATAAATTCACTATTGAACGATAAATTGTTTTAATTGTGTGCACTTTTTGAATAAACTATGTAAGTTCGAGTGACATAATAAAATAAACTATTTATACAATATTTTAAGAAATGTGTAACAGAAGTGTAGGTAGTTATTCCTGTGAATGATTGAGTGAATCGATGAGTACGCATTTCAGAAAAAGGTGAATGAAAACTGTCTTGTTGTCTTCAATATACAAAACATTTCAACATTGACATTATACACAAGCTCCAGAGATTAGTAAATGTTTGGTTCTCGATTTTTCCTCGAAAAAGAAGCAACGTAAAAGTGAATCAAGAGTCAGAATGTTGCATTTTGAGCAACTTCATCGAGAAATGAAAAATAGTTGCAGAAGAGCTACTATGTGCAATTTGTCGTGCAAAAATCTGACAGACTTTCATCTTAAATATAAATACCTACCATATTACAAACTGTGAAAATTTCATTGAAATCATTGAAAACGAATATTCTCAGATGTAATTATGAACATAAAAAAATGGATAATATATATATAAAGAAATACATTGAGAATTCGCATTCTCTATGTGATGACAAAATCAATTCTCTCTCGGTTTATTCAACAGAAAACAACTACTTTCCTGGCTATATACCAGGACGAACATTGAATTATATCTATTAATCTATTGAACACACACGATAAGAATTTGAAAACAAAACCTTCTGAAGTAGAGAATTCGCAATCTCCTTCATATAAAGATATTATGTATATGCACATGATATTATTCTGATGACAGGAGTATGTCAACAAATCATAATTCTCAGATGTCAGTTCGTTATAGTTTCGGTTATATCATAGGGAGATTGAAATCGTGTATATGATGAAGAATGGCTGAAAGAATAACTGGACTTCAGGTTACTGATGAGGATTTCATATCCGAAATGAGTTGATTCGAGTCAAGTCATATAACTTGTTTGTGAGAGATTCAATTCCCATATCACTGATACGAATAATCATCAAGATCAGAGTTTATACATGTATACTTCTCCTATACATTTCAATTTTTATTTCAATACTGAACATGTTGGTAAGTTATATTTTCATATCATAATACATCATATTATTTTATTCGATTTGATAATTCTCAATTTCAGAGGATTTTCATTTTTCATGATCTCTTTTTGGATGTTCAGCAGATATATGTGTTTTCAAATTCTTATCGTGTGTGTAGATATAATTCAATGTTCGTGGTGGCATATAGCCAGGAAAGTAGTTGTTTTCTGTTGAATAAACCGAGAAAGAATTGATATTTTCATCACATAGAGAATGCGAATTCTCAATGTTTTTTTAAATATGTATATCCATTTTTTTTGTTCATAATTATATCAGAGAATATTCCTTTTCAATACTTCCACCCAATCAAGGGATTCACACTTGAACGATGGAAACTTATTTTCATAGACTTTCAATCGCATTCTTGATTAGGTTTTCTCAATTCAGAATTGTCTTATTTATTTGATGAAAATGTTTCCTCACTTCACCTCGTATATTTATCATGATCAATTAAAAAGAATGAGAAATTATGTTCCATATTCTGTTCATGATTTTTTCCTTTATTCAGCTATATCTATCCTATCTCCAGGAAAGTATACCGATGCCATGATTATTACACAAAGTGTTTCAGAATGCCTTATAAATCTCGTTTGGGATAATTTGATCCCATCCCCATTTTTTCTGAAACAACTCACCCAATAATAAATAACAAGCTCAATTTAAGTCCACTTGAGGTTCCCCAGTTTAAATGAAATCGAAACGACTCAAACGTATTCCGGTTGGCCATTAGAGCAGATCGTTGAATGAAATAACAGTTAATATCTCTCTCATTTCCCTGGAATTTATAACCGGTATAAAATGTTCTGCCTTATTAATTTCGAGACTGTATTCAACGAACGATAACTCCTTTTGCGTCGGAAAATTTGAATAAATCACCAGGGATTTTCTGAACAAAAAACGCCTTGAATTCGTTACCACACACTCCCATATTGACTAATCCCTTCACCAGTTGTAACCAATTCACAGCTCAAAATTTCAGCTGCTCGTTTTTATATCCACGTATTTATAAAGTCTACAACAAGTGCTATAGACATTGCAAGTAAAACACAAGCATGCCTTTTCTCTAGAAAAGCCGATCTCACTATGTCCAACATAAGCTTATCAGGAGTAACCATACCTTCGAAGACATCCATTTCGATGCTTGGTATCACTATCAGCAATAACCTCTCTTGGGAAAATCACGTGAGATCGATTGCTAAAAGTGCATCCCAAAACTTGGTTTCCTGTTTCGGACCAGGAGCTATTTCACTTCCAGTCAGCTGCTTATGATCTATGAGGCACAGATCCGACCTGTCCTGGAATACTGTTCCCATATTTGGAGTGCAGCACACAAACATACCCTGAAACTGTTGGGTTCTGTCCAAAAAAGGGCAATTCGTCTCGTAGGTGATGCCCCGCTTACAAACTCACTCACTTCTCTGGAACACCGTAGAAAAGTTGGCGATTTGGCTCATTTTCATAGATATTCTCATGGACTATGCTCTTTTGAAATATCAACAATTGTTCCTCCCTTGGCAGTCCCGCGAGATTAACCCGTCGAGCTGAGGCTTCGCACCTCATCGTGGTCACTTTGGAGACCTGCAGAACATATCTCTTTCCAAAGACTCGTTCTTTCAACGAACAGCGTGACTCTGGAGCACATTGCCATGGGAGATGTTTCCTTGTTTCCCAATGCATATAACCTTCAGAAATTTCACCGATTCGTACCCTATTTTATTGTTGTTGTTGTCGAGGTGGTTTGAATCCTTTATGGACACCATTTGGGTCCTATCTCCCATATGATAGTGTGGGACTTCCCTGACTCTAGCCAGGGTTTACCCACTATAAACTCCACCCCGTTTGTAGGCTCTTCTACATGGTCAGACGACACTTAGGCCTATGGTGGCCCATTGTATCTCACCTAGTAGTTCTTCATTGTGCCCACTCCATTATCTCTGTACCTTGAACAAGTCTGTACAAATCCTTCACTGGATGTGAGTTGAATACTTCTGGTTCGCCAACTGGTTGCCCAAAAATCTTCTGTCTTCTGCGGTCCAATGCCTCACATCGGCACAGTATATGTGCTACTGTGTCTGGTTCCTTGCCACATAGTCTGCAGCTTGGGTCGCCATTGTACAGTCTCATTCTGGCGAGATGCTCCTTTACTGGCGCATGGCCAGTCATGAGTCCCGTAACAGTTTTCATCTGTGCTCTGTTCAAGTTGAGCAGGTCTACAGTTCGTTTATGACTTGGTTCCTTAATGTATTGTTCCCCATAGCTGTTTCTTGGGATGTTTTCCCAGTAGCTCTCATGTTTTGCCTGAATCCAGTCTTTAACTGACACTCGTGCTGTACGTTTTGGTACTCCAAGAGTCTGTCCTGGAGCTGGCTCGTTGTCCGACCCTCTTCTTGCAAGTTCGTCAGCTCTTCTCTATTTTCTTTTGCACATTGGAGAATTGCGTACACCTCTGCTTGGAATACTGAAGCATACTTCCCCAATGAGTATAGCTGAGGCTAGTTTCCGGATGTTTGGAGTATACTCCTGCTCCTGACCCATTCGCAGTCTTGGACCCGTCTGTATACCAGATCTTTCCCTGCAGTATGGTGCTGCCTATTTCCCTTGGTTCTCACGATGTTCTCTGAACATTACAGGATATCCCTTTTCGTGAGAACCAGAACATAAAAAAAATGCAAGTTGGAAAACTCATTATATGTGGCCTACGTGAATCACCCTGTACACACACTGCAGGATATTGAACATCGTGATGGAAATCAAAATTTCGAAATGAAAGTTGACATTTCTATAGATTGAGAAACACACCCTTGCTTCCGTGAAAACAGTACTCTTTACTATTGGTAATATGGTGTCTTTTCAGGTGCGAGATGGGTCTCATGTGGAAAAAATGGCTTTGTGGAAGATGACGGTGGTCATAGCTGGAGACGAGCCAATCCATTGGCTGGAGTGAAATATGGAAAGGAAGCGATCAACGCGGAGACACAGGAGATACAGGCGACCGTGGCTGAAAAAATGCAGGGAATTTTTCAGACAATTTATTGCCTTTTTGTTTAGCAACGTCGGGATTATTGGCCTGGTGGTGAGTTATGTGAAAGATTTGCAGAATTTTATTGGAAAATGCCGATATCTCAACATGAAATTGGTGCACCGGGCGAACTATACAGGGTGATTCACACTTACGTAGAAAGAATGTAATGGAGTTCTGTTTTGTTATGTAGGAAAATGCTTGGTCACCCTGTGATTACATATATTGGGATCGATTGATGTTAATGTTGAACATCTATTCGGAAGTTGAGTTGAAGAATCTGCCAAAATTGGTTATAGACATCTATGATGGAAATGAAGTCTTTGTTGAGTCCAGCCGCTACTTAGCCAGTACAGGATGGTTGCTGCGAATCGAGCCTCATTATTGGGATAAAATTTTATAATTCCGAATACCTACTTTCTGAGATATACGTGGAAACCTGAATTTCCTTAAATCTTTTTCTTTTGACATTTGAAATTTGAAATCCGACGATTCGTTTTCCAGATACCATAATCAACTCATCTTTTTCAAATACGGATCACATTTTCTATATTCTTTTCAATACTCAATATGGTCACAGCGTTCCAGATATCCGAAGGTGAGGAAACATTGAATACAAAATCCACGAAGACAAAACGTCGGATTTCAAATTTGGAAAAGCCAGCTTATACGGCAGAAAAAGTGGCATGGGGTTTGATATTTGCGTACCAAAATATGTCGATATGGCGAAGAATAAATGAAGGAATAAACAATGAAGAACTAATTAATAATCTTCACTATAAATACGGCATAATATACACAGACATTTACTACTGCCTGGTTGTAGGCGCAGCCAATAACAATTCAAAATTCTGGTTATAGTATTATCATCATGAAAATGTGCAAAAAGTTGCTGGGAGAAAATTATGAATGAGTGTTAATGAAACCATTTCAAATAACTGTTGTCCAGTAAAGGGCACAAAGAATTACCAGCATTATTTGCTAGGAGAGAAAGGTAAGGTTTGTGATTATCAAGAAGAATGTTAGTATGATATGCCATCAACAATTGAGAAATATCACAGATGAGCAAAAGAAAATCCATTTTTCAAGTAATAATAAAATATTAGCAATAGTTTTTCCTCCTTCGAAAATTAATTACCACCAGGCATTTTACCTAACTCACCCACGTAACAAGAGCGAAAGAAAGAGTGAATATCACCAGACCAAATCTTGTCCGCCATCTTGAAGCACCCTTTTTTTTTAATTCCAACAAAAATTCTATAACTCTGATCAACTTGGAATTTGGCAGGTGTTCATAATTTCGTTGACAATACATTATGGAATTTTTGTTGAAATTAAAAAAATGACTGCTCCAAGATGGCGGACAAGATTTGGTCCGATTCCATTCAAAATTGGTAAATGGGGGTTTTTGAGGTCAGAGATCATGATTTTTTGTTGAAATTCATTAATTCAAGATGGCGACTGCCAAATGATTTTTTGTTTTTGTATAAATGACGATAACTCCATTGTTATCAACACAAAACTATCACTGCGACATATCATCTGTGAGAGAAAATAAAGTCATTTGTAACTAAGTCATAGTGAGGTATGACCTACATTTGAAAAACTAAAGTTGGTGCTGATATCTCAAATCCTAGAAGAGTTGGTATAAATTTCATATTTTTTTCGAAATCACTTTGAAAAACTGCCAGGAGAATGTGAAACTCCTATTTGAATATTTTCATAAATAAAGAAGTTACGGAGGAGACATGAAAATGATCAAAATCTGTTTTTGCGTATAAAACAAAAAACGAATAGACTTTATCAAAATATTTTTTCACATTATAGTTGGCCTTGACAAACTCCACATTTGGTGTCATTTAACCGACCTCGTATCTCTCACCATTTGAAAGATACCCATGGTGAGCATGGTAAGTGGGACACACTGTATACATGAGACTAGCATTGACCTTTTCTGTCTACCATTGCACTATTCGAGTAGCGACTGGACTTAGAGTGATAGATTCTTGAGAATTATCAAAGACATACTAGTTCGAATATACCTCAAAGTTAGGTTTGTTGATAAACTACAGTGCGCCAGAGTGCATCTGGACGAAATAGTTTTTTCACACTAAGTGGAGATCTATCACCCCCTTGATTCTTTATAGAAAAATTGAATCACCCTATATTAAAAGAAAAACATTTCTGGCTGATACCTTGCACTCTGCATAATCCATTGACTTGTCAATTTCAATGATAAATACTGGATTTCCAGGTTGGGTATACAATAGCAGGATCATTTATATTCATGACAATCGAAGGGAAACACATTCCGAAGATGAAGCTGGAAGTCAGGAATAACAGAAGTTTGTATGCCACCAGACTTTGGAACATAACAATGAAACTTAATTCCCAGGTGAGCCATGTAACAACAGGAATGATTTCCCGAAAATAACAGAGGATGTAGTTCGTGATTGAAAATGGAATGATTTGAGTCTTATCATTATCACTTTATTGAACATAATCCCAGGCAACCAGATGACGTTCCAGTGACGTCTTTTTTACGTCACTTGAATGACCAAGGTGACTTCAGTAGTTGACGTCGCATTGACGTGATAATGACGTGAATAAGTCACAGCCCAATGACGTCATATTACTCACGTCGTATTGACGTCATTCACTCACCAAACTGTGACGTCCGACTGACGATGATAGGTAAAAAAGATTCCTTTAACACGGCGTGATAAAAACCACTAGCCTCTGATGACATTATGTAATATTGATTATGCATTGTTGAGTCTACTTGGTGGATCCCTCCTGTGTCATGTTCATTCAATTGCCTATTCAGCAGCGCCATCCTTCAGTACGCATCTCCATCAGAATGCAATCAGTTACTCGTATTTGTATCAAAAACTATGTAGTTTGTGTCGGCGAGATGTAAGCAAACAAAGAATAGTTTGATAGCAATGAAAATGATGTTGGGGAATTTGGCTTCACTTTGTTGAATAATGTATATTGATGTATTTTTTGTCACCCAACAAGAATCTAAATAGCAAATTATTGAGAAATTTACTAAATGACGAAGCTCACCAAATTGGTACGTCACACCGACGTGATTTTTAGACGTCATAGATACGTCACTGCAACGTCATAAGAGTAACGGTTTCAATAAAGGTATATCTGAACAATCATTTTTATATAAACATAGCTTGTTGGTTTCCGAGATATACAGTTTTTTTAGAAAAAAGTTTTTCTACTACTTTTCGGGTATATTAATAATTAGAATAAAACTTGCATGTTCATTTGCTTCCATGAGTTATACTTCTGTTTCACATGATAATATATAAGTATCCATGGTTTAGAGAAGGTCTGGGAAAAATGGACGTCGACAGGACGTCCCTGCAACGTCATGAAACTGACGTCTTCTTTTACCCATCTAAGTGACGTTCACTCGACGTCGAAACGATGACGTGATTATCACGTCATAGAAAGTACGTCATAGTGACGTCATAAATTAGTGTGTGACGTCTCTGACGAAAAATCACCAATTAGGGACGTCACAGTGAAGTGATCATTCTTCATCTGGTTGCCTGGGATATTTATATAGCAACTCGAAAAACTATACCAAGCATCAATTGAAATAAAATAGTTGAAGAAGATTGCGGTAGAATTAACATCTTGATTACTGGGTGTTCAGTAATCTGATGGTGGCCTGGTATTGTATTCTTTCTTTTTTCTTTGCAGGTGATGAACAAGGAAGAATATATGAAGACAATGGCCGAAGAGTTATTCAAGTACCAGCAAGTGATAGTGAATTTCACCAGGAGGGGATATGATGGTACTGATGATGACTATTCAGCTCAATGGAGTTTCGCTGGAGCGTTCCTCTATTCTTTGACAGTGATCACCACAATTGGTGAGTGGATGTTGATTATGATGATCAAAATGAAAACATGGTTGGTAGGGAGATGTGTGATATTGTTTGTTCTTTGATGCTGAAAATTGCGAAAATCGCCATTTTCATCTCGTTTTCAGTACGCTTCTGACCTCTATCATGAACTAAGTTTTTAATAATTATCAATCCGAACATTAGAAATATTTCAGAATTCTTTCAAGATCCACTTTTCTGTCGAGTTTATAATCAAAAATTGCTCATGCTTGAACATCTCAAATACTTACACTTCACAAAATAAAGCGCCAGAATCAAACATAAAACAAACGAATAATTAAAGAATTTGAAATCATACAACCAAATTAGATTTCAATTTGTTTGATGTGATGTTTGGAAACTTCGACCAAGATTTGTCTATTTGAACGAGTATTGCACGACATGTTATTATGTAATACATGAACGATTCTTTGGAGGAAGCAAAATTACCACTGTATTGCCACCAATATAACAACCAATACCAAAGAATCAGGTATCTGCATGATTCACTTGGTCAAACTAGTATCTGAAATTTCGTAGCTATCAACGAATTCCTATTAGGTTTCCAATATTTGAGCCAACCGTTCAGAATTTAATACCACGACTGACGACTTGTAAGTCCAATCAGTTTTCATCGTTTCATCCACTCTGTATCATTTCCGTTCAAAAACTCAAGAGGTCTCGAGTGCTAGAAAATATTCTGGAGGCATTTGGGCAGCAAATTATTCAGGAACATTAATATGAAACCAGACCAGACGTATACAGAGGCGGGCACACAAAAATTTTCCTGGGATAATTCAGATGAAATGGTATGTATATTCTTTGCGAAAAAGTGGTAGCGGAAGCGTAACATAATATAAGCAGTCGAATGTATATATAGAACTTTATGCTGGATGTTGATCACAACCATCAGAGGGTATAAACATGCGTGTTTCTTGATATAAGTATCCTAGAAATCAAGTCAAACCAGAAACCAAGCCTAACCAAACTAGAATGGATTTGACAGTGAAATAATGGTTTGTATTGAACATTTTCGTCATTATGAGGTGCATAATCGAGGAAAATAGAGGATCAAAGGACGTTCAGGAAAATCTAAATGTTCGCAATATAGCTATGATTGAACAATGGTTGAACCTTCGTCATTTGAAGTAACGATTACTGATGAAAAGTTTCACTGAAGATCATCAGGAATAGGCGAGTGGTTACTCAAAATCAAAACATGTATCCAAAATGTATAGGATTATTAGTCATATCTATTATTGAGCTGAAACTTCTTCAAATAAACATTATGATTATTATTATTATTATTATTACTAGATTCTCGAGGATATATAGATGAGGCGAAATACAGAATATCCAATAAAATTCCTGAATTTGATTTGATCAGATATATTTTCCATGAAATTGTGTTCTCCTTTTGCATCAAATAATTATGGACTTTGCGAACTTGACAGTTCAATATTTTGAAGTTTAACAAGAATAATAATAGGTCGCGTACAAGAACTGTCAGATGACCGACCCTGGAGGCAAAACATATTTGTTTACAAGTGATCGAAATAGTTTTCCACAATTATTTTGGCATATGAATCGTATTTTTCCGCTATTCATCAATTCGCTAATGCCATCACATTGTGCTGTTGTAAAATGCACAAAAACTGCAGCAGAAGATGAAGAAATCCGGATGGTACATTATGATTCAAAAGTAAGTACCTACTATAGTCACTCACATAGTTTTCATTTTTGAAATTTGGTTATTTCTCTGATTTCTCATCGGAGTTCCTTCTGCAATAGGATCAGCTAATAGAAATATACCTGAAATTTTCTAGAATAATGCAAGAAGATCGGATTCATGCAATCAATCGGTAGGACTGGTCTGACATGCTGACGATCGTGTGTGTTGTAGACATTTTCAATCTATTAGCAGCATTAGCTTGTATTGCAGAAGTGGCAGAAGGCAGAAGGAATTTTAATAAGGAATGACAATATTTCATAATGCTAACTATGTGAGATTACTATTTACCTGAAAAATCATATTCCCTAGTCTCTTGCTGCATTTTTTGTGCATTGTACAACAGCACAATGCGAAGGCATGCTTGAATTAATGAATAACGCAAGAAACACGATTCGTATGCCAAAATATTGTGAAAAACTATTTCAACCTTTTGATTCCTCTGTAACCAAATAAAAAAGTGAGGTTGTGTTTCAATAATTCACAGAAGAATGAGGTTGTGTTTCAATATTTTGCCTCCAGGGTCGGCCTTTGTGCACGCGACCTATTACGCAAGTTTATAACCTTCATATTAACAACTTTGTAGTAGTGCTAAGTGCAGAGCCAACTAATCTTCTTAGTAAAAGTTGATGTCATCATTAAGTGTATGTTTTTCCAAAAGTTATATATCGCTCATTAGGATTTAGGATTTTATCTCTTGGGTCGCACGAAACCTAATCCTATATTATATTCGACAAAAGAGATATATAGGTATTGGAATTTTCCTTCCACCTATATAGAGGCGGCTAGTCAAATCCTGCACAAGGAATTCCAAAGATTCACTATTTTATGAACATATGGTTTGACAGTTGAATGATGACTGAGTGAGTTTATCGAATTTTTGAGTAAGTGTGGCATCACCAACCAGACCAATAGCTCATATTCGTAACAAATTCGAAAGCATCAGCGTTTATTCAACCTACATTTGATAGTTCTAACTATTCTGCCACTGGTGAATCGTGTTGTATCAATCGTCAGGTGCTTTCAGTATCCGTATTCAACCTTCATTGTTCTTTTTCCTCCGTCCATGTTATAGGCACATTTCCTTTTTCACTTTTTCCCCAATATCTCTCTTGTGCGGCCTGCAGTTAATGAAATAAATCAAAGGCGCCTACGTGTTGTCGGCGCTTTGAGAAACCTCCGCCGTTATGGGAATTAACTGGCGAGAGGTGATTATTAATGCCCTTCGGGTCGATCTACTAACGAAGGTGTTCTCTGTGCCTGAAAAAAATGGGCTGAAAAATACCTGTTACACGGTTTTGCAAATGTGATAGAGGTTTCAGTAGGGTTTTAGTCATGTAATGGATTTGTTCTTCGTTACTTGATTGAAAGAAAGTTGTTGGTTTGTTATTTCATCAAGTTCTTTCATGACTCAATTTGATTCACACAGTGTGGAGCTGAGCACGAATTTTAAACTCAGATATCACAACAGATTTCAAAAAATCCTTTTTCAAACAGAAAATGATTGGGAAGTCTGAGCAAGCAAAGCAAACTATGATGATTTTTCACATGTCAAAAACGGTTGAATGCAATGAGAGTATCTTTGTGAAATCTTGACTCTCCCACTATCAGATTCGGAAGCAACGTATTACAGGATAATCTCAAAATGTCACTAGCCAAATTTGATTGGAAAAAACCTATATATAGACGTGTCTGAAAAAGTATAGAGAACCTGTTGCACGTGGTTCTGCAAATGTGATGGAGGTTTCAGTAGGGTTTTAGTAGTGTAATGGACTTGTTTTTTGTTACTTGATTGGAAGAAAATAGTTGATTTGTTCTTTAAATCAAGTTCTTGAAAAGGTTAATTCAATGTTCACAGTATGGCCTATTGAATACGAGCTGAGCTCCTGTTCAAAATTCACATAACACAACAGATTTTGGAATTTCTTCTAACAAGGATATCAATAATGAAATGCAAGGCATCAACCTATGATTGCTATTAGCAAATTTTTTCTGACATCTTGACTCTCCACTTTCAGATTCGAAAACCCTTAATACAGCATAATGCATAATGCCAAAAATATAATTGGTAAAATTTTATTGGAAATATACAATTTGCCAAAATATCTACGTATCATCAAGAGATATCCGAATCGCATCCGAAAGTTTGAGATACATTCTCATCAAAACTCCGATTTGGAATATTTTTCGGTCAAACCTCACTCTCCATAATCTCAACTCCTTAGAAGATATTATGAGATTATTTTTTTATTTTATTTTCGTTCACAAACTGGTCAATAATATTGTCGACTGTGAATATTATCTTCAGTATCTTGAGTTCAATTGTAACCATTTCGGTCTTTGTAATAAAAATATTTTTTCAATAGATAGGTATAGATAAAACTACTTATTGAATTCGCCAATGCTGCGTTGTTGTCTCAAATTCAATAATCTCGTCAGGAGTAGTCAGGAAACAGGATATAAACTTTTTCTATCAGATCATATATTTTGCGCTTAAATCAGACTTTCCCTACATGTCAAAAGCTATTTTTTTCTAATTCATCGATGGAAATAGGCTTATTTGTAGTTCAAAAACGTTCACTCTATTCCGATTTTACACATATATCTGAAGTTTGCACGAACCAAGACAACTTTCACTTCTTGATATTTTCAATTTCTACGAAATTCCTGTGAAATAAAAAAATCGTTCGACAAATCTGTCCTGAACTTTGATTAACTACAAGAAGTAGTTTGATGATATCATTTTGATTGATGACTTTCGAATAATTTTAGTACTGAAAAAATTCCTTTGAATAAATCGAATTGAATACTTGACGATATGATTAGTGATTGAGAACTAGCAGCATGATGGAGCTATCGGCATGAAACACTTTTGTCGTAGTTACAATGTTTCTTTTATTACAAAAATTTCGTAGAATGAAAAAGAATATCAGAATCTGAAAGTTGTTTCAGAACGTTCAAATCTGAAACACATGTCTGAAAAAACTTTTCTCAGTAAACGTTTCGGAAATTCAAACAAATAAGCCTATTTAAGCGAATAATTTGGAGAAAAGATACCTTTTGACATGTTTCGAGTCACGTGAACAAATCGCTATTCGAAATGAATTATTATAAGAAGTTCTTATGATTCCAACTTCCTGAAAGATACCGTATAGAAATTTGAGAAGTCTATCATCAAAATATAGATCGTTCAAACACGTCAACCTCCTGAGTGAGTACATTAAATTGATTTCATATTCGTGTATTCTTCAATATAAGTAGTATATCTATAATTTCTATATCTGATGAACAGTATATAAAATTGGAAAATGATGAGTGTAGAGAGAGATAAGACTGTAGCTTTATTTTATTCAATCATCAGATCAACAGATTACTGTAATCACTTTCATGGAAACCATAGGACTGGAAATAATATGAATTATTCACAGCCGTAAAGGAAGCACAGAAGTTGTAGATGAGTGACTGGACGGCAGCAGTAGAATTAGGAAAGGCATTGTCGTTCTTCCTAGCCTCGTTAACGAAGAAATTCGAATAGTACTGCGCCACCTGGATGCTATCCACAGTATGGGGAATGCCCACACCCTCTTTGAACTCGAAAATAGGCTTCTCAGGGTGGAACTGCACCCCATAAAAGGGGTAGTCTTCGTGTTCGAAGGAGGAGATGAAATTCAGGCCGTTGCTGTCGATGTTTGTAGATAGAGTACGCCATTTTAAAGCGCCATGTTGATACATCGATTGACGTGTGAAACATAGTTCGTGGTAGTTGAAGGTAACATTTTCTTCCACTAGTATGTCCACCAGATGGTCTGGTATTTCTTGGTACATTCGGCTATCCTTGAAACCTTCAAAAAACAGATTCATTCTTTTGAGTTCTCTCTGGAAGAAGTTCTCATCTCAAGAGTTCGAAATGAAAGTGTTATTCCAATTTGGAAACAGTCATCATTGAAGTGTATTTACCTGGAACGAAATCAAGAGGAATTCCAACTTCTTCCATCAGGCACGATACTCTGAGATCAATGCCCGTTTCCGCGAAGGGTAGTACTTCGAAGCCCAAACAGGTACCCCACAAGGGGTAGTATATGCCTTGGTCGTTTGCTTCTACTGCGAGCTTGTATATCTCTCTAGCTGCCTCACCATAGCCTCCTGGGGTATCGAATGGAGCAGAACCGCCAGGAAAGAGCACTCTGAAAAAATTCATTCTATTCTTATCTATTCAAACAGCGACTTGGTTAAGAATTGATATTATGATTGTTTTTGTCTTCTATGTAACTCACAATGATAATGATTGATATTTACCCATTAGTATATTTCACCACTCTTCTATAGTAGTCCGTTGTTTGGTTCAACCTAAAAGAAATTGGAAGCCTTGAGTGATGCTGTGAAATTTGATAAAATCTTGATACATAAGTGATAGTGAAAGCTGCAACAATAAGATCACCCACAGAAAATGTCATGTTTATGAGATTGTTTGCAGTCATGGTAAAATTCCAGATACTTTTTCTATACGTGAGCCATTGCCATTGAAGACATTTCATTGTTCTAACTTCGACAATTTATTTGATACTTATCGAAACTGACGGAAGTTTTGAATCATCTGCCTTCACGTAGGCAGTTGTGTTGAGAAAAATACTACATAACTGGTGATGAAATGTACATTTCAACACCATCAGTTGCAGCATGAAAATATGAATGTACACTTTATGCTGTTTTCCATTCGAAACTTTGTACATAATGGGTAGAAAATAAAACATGTTTTGTGTCACTCTGTTTTGCGGGATCTCGCTTTGCTCGTTTTCCAACTGGTAAGGTGGATATCTATCTCCTTATGACACTTCTTGCTGTATAGTATTTGGTGTTTTTCAACCACCTTTTATGCAAAGATGACAAGAATAATGGAAAAGTGTGCTCATGTCGGTCGATTTTCGGGAATGGACTGTTAATTATTTTGTAACTACATTTTAAAGTCAATGAACTATGCCTTCATGAAATGTTTCAACTTGGAGGTCACAACACTGAAAATTATGGGAAACGATAATGAACCTGAAAGGAAACATAACTGATTGATTTTTTCCTCATTGAAGATAGAAATGGTGATATTCACTATCACTTTACAATCGATTTAGTTATTCTTAAAGAAATGAAACTTCTTACTTGTTTTCTTAACTTTTCATAGCGAAACATTGTTGATTGATAATGTATTTGATTTGATCACTTCACTCAGAGCTTTTTTTGGCCAATGAATGAACCTCATATACATATATCAGAAGAATAAGACCAGAATGCACTGGTTATAATAGTACAAACTCTGCATTGATGATATTGTCAAGAATGGATCGGTACTATAATAAATTTATTGGGAATATTACATTAACCTAGTCTAGATCATATTCTCAGAATTATTTAGCTTACAGGATATCAGTAGAGAATAACGATATTCAAAGGAAATTATAGTTCGGATTTCAATCCTATGATTATTAAAGTAAAGTCGATGACGGGCAGAAACTGCTGGTTTTGGATTTTTCCTAGTTTTTATGCTGAATCAATTACCACTACCAAAACCGACATGAAAAAGTATTGGAGAAAAAACCGGTAGTTGTGACCGGACAGTGGACCGTGAAGTTTTTCAAATTCGCTAACAAAAAAGTAAGTCTTGAACATTTTTGCATCATGTCTAAACTTCGTGAGTGGCAGTTCCAATCCTCCAACGAAAAGCGAGCCTTTCTGTGAGTACGATTTTTAATATCACTAGTTATAGTTTTCTTGTTTTGTTTTTATTTGAGTTGGATGTATCTTGCTGGGAAATTGGTTCAATTCATCTCATGCCCGAATCGGTTTTAAAAACAGATGAAGAAATTCGTAAAGTGAAGTTGAATTATTTGATTATAAATTTCATAAAACCTCTTCAAAGCGAGTAAGTTCGAGTTACGATTGTGAGGGTTAGAACCAGCTCGTCCCAAGTAACATTTTAAATGTCTACCGTTTTATGAATGCCCTGGAAAAAGCATATTGGCCTTCATGTCCATATAATCTTATTAAAAGGCTTTGTGGCATTCAGCTCACTTCGGTTTTAAGAGAGCTCTGTGAGAGTCATTGAAATTCTTTATCAAAATTATTTACTCTTACCAACCCTCTTAAAACTCTCAAGTTTTATTAGTGTCTCGAATTTGACAAATTGGTAAACAACAAAAGTGTGGTTATGTTGATCATGTTGATGATGTGACAAAATAATTTTCTATATTTCATATGATATTCACTTACCAAATCGGCATTACTCTGGCTCCAGCCAATTCCAGAAATTTCACATAGGACGCAGCAATGTATGTGTCGTATTGATATTGGTTCACAGTGTTATCCATCGGTTGAGTAATGATACCGATTATTGGCCTATTGGTTGCATGGTTAGCACCCAAAACTGCCAAGATCAAGAGTAACCTCAACATGTCTGACCGAGAGGATAACAACTGATTGAACTGATTGATCAAGGATATTCAGTCGCTTTTAAGTAACATTGATAAATGGATAGAAATGATCCGATTAGGATCGACAGATTTATGAAGGCATCTGATGATCAGGAGATAATCAATTATTGTGTATTTTTATGAATGATGTGTTAATCCTGAGTCTTAGCGGAATTTGTTGATTGTCATTGTCGCATTAGTACCTGGGCCATTCTCCATTCGCCAAAAAACATCAAATTGAATGTCCCACCTATACTTGGATTCCAACTTCAAATTCCATAAATTATAGTAATTGGAATAGGAAGGAGTTATTCATTAGCCCTTTCATTGCGGGAAAAATTCTGATAGTCTTGCCCTCAAAACGGGAAAATTCTCTCTCCCGGTATACGCAAGTCAGGTACGGACGTGTACTACTATTTCTATAGTCTTTATTCAAAATGAAATGTTATAATGCAATTCGTTATATCTATAATGAATGGAAAATATTCCCATATATGAAATGGAATTACTGAAATATTCAATGAAATGAAAACCGCATCCATAATCGTTAAATCCTGTTGAGACATGTTTAGTTGCATGTTGATATATCAATATACGTAGACGGGAACGAAAAAATTCCTGAATTCCTGAAAATTGCAAAAATCGCAAAAATGCCTGAAAATTGCGAAAATCGCAAAAATGCCTGAAAATTGCAAAAATTCCTGAAAATTGCAAAAATTCCGGAAAATTGTAAAAAATTCCTGAAAATTGCAATAATCGCAAAAATGCCTCGCAAAAATGCCTGAAGATTGCAAAAATCGCTAAAATTCCTGAAAATTGTAAAAATCGCGAAAATTCCTGAAAATTGTGAAAATTGCAAAAATTCTTGAAAATTGCAATTTTCAGGAGTTTTTGCAATTTTCAGAAATTTTTTGTTATTTTTGCTATTTCTGCAATTTTCAGGTATTTTTGCAAACTTTGCAATTTTCAAGAATTTCTGCAATTTTTGCAACTTTGGATTTTCAGGCATTTTTGCGATTTTTGCAATTTTCAGGAATAGCAAAAATTGCAAAAGTCCTGAAAATTGCAAAAATTCCTGAAAATTGCGATAATTGCAAAAATTCCTGAAAATTGCCAGAGTTCTAAAAATTCCTGAAAATTGCAAAAATCGCAAGAATGCCTGAAAATTGCAAAAATAGCAAAAATTGCAGAAATTCCTGGAAATTGCAAAAAGTCCTGAAAATTGCAGAAATTGCATAAATTCCTGGGAATTGCAAAAATCGCAGAAATTGCAAAAATTCCTGAAAATTGAACAAATTCCTTCAAATTGGAAAAATTCCTGAGGAATGCAAAAATTGCAAAAATTCCGTAAAATTGTAAAAATTCCTAAATTCCTGAAATTTGCAAAAATCGCAAAAATGCCTGAAAATTGCAGAAATTACGAATTCCTGAAGATAGTGAGAATTTCAAAAATTCCAGGAAATTGGAAAAATTCCTGAAAAATGCAGAAATTGCAAAAATTCCTGAAAATTGCAGAATTTGCAGAAATAGCAAAAATTGCAAAAATTTCTGATAATTGCAAAAATTCCTGAAAACTGCAAAAATAGCAAATATCCCTGAAAATTGCAAAAATCGCAAAAATTCCTGAAAATTTCAAAAATCGCAGAAATGCCTGAAAATTGCAAAAATCGCAAAAATTCCTGAAAATTTCAAAAATCGCAGAAATGTCTGAAAATTGTAAAAATTCCTGAAAATTGCAAAAATTTCTGAAAAGTGCAAAAATTGCAAAAATTCCTGAAAATTGCAAAAATTGCAGAAATTGCAATAATTCCTGAAAATTGGAAAAATTCCTGATAATTTAAAAAATTTCGAAAATTCCTGAAAATTGCAAAAATTCCTGAAAATTGCAAAAATTGCAAAAATTCCTGAAAATTGCAGAAATTGCAGAAATTGCGGAAATCTCAAAAATGCCTGAAAAGTGCAAAAATAGCAAAAATTGCTAAAATTCCTGAAAATTGCAAAAATTGCAGAAATTCCAGAAATTTGCAGAAATTGCCAAAATCGCATTTTTCAGGAATTTTTGCGATTCTCAGGCATTTTTGCGATGTTTGCAATTTTCAGGCATTTTTGCGATTTTTTCTATTTCTGCAATTTTCAGGAATTTTCGCAATTTTTGCAATTTTCAGGCAATTTCGCGATTCCTGCAATTTCTGCAATTTTTGCAATTTTCAGCAATTTTCGCAATATTTGCTATTCTTGCAATTTTCAGGCATTTTTGCGATTTTTGCAATTTTTATTTGCTTTTCTAATTTTCACAAATTTTTGCAGTTTCTGCAATTTTTGCAATTTTCAGGAATTTTTGGAATTTTTGCAATTTTCAGGAATTTTTGCGATTTTTGCAATTTATGCAATTTTCAGGAATTTTTGCAATTTTTGCAATTTTCAGGAATTTTTGCAATTTTTGCAATTTTCAGGAATTTTTGCAATTTTTGCTATTTTTGCAATTTCTGCAATTTTCAGGAATGTTTGCAACTTCCAGGAATTTTTGCAATTTTCAGGAATTTTCGAAATTTTTTCAATTTTCAGGAATTTTTCCAATTTTCAGGAATTATTGCAATTTCTGCAATTTTTGCATTTTTGCTTTTTTCGCAATTTTCAGGAATTTCTGCGATTTTTGCAATTTTCAGGAATTTTCGCAATTTTTGCAATTTTCTGGCATTTTTGCGATTATTGCAATTTCTGCAATTTCCAGGAATTTTTGCAATTTCTGTAATTTCCAGGAATTTTTGCAATTTTTCCAATTTTCAGCAATTTTTGCAATTTTCAGGAATTTTTGCAATTTTCAGGAATTTTCGAAATTTTTTCAATTTTTAGGAATTTCTCCAATTTTCAGGAATTATTGCAATTTCTGCAATTTTCGCAATTTTCAGGAATTTTTGCAATTTTTGCAATTTTCAGGAATTTTCGCAATTTTTGCTATTTTTGCAATTTTCAGGCATTTTTGCGATTTTTGAAATTTTCAGGAATTTTTTGCGATTTTTGCAATTTTCAGGACTTTGCAATTTTCAGAAATTTTTCTAATTTTCAGGAATTTTTGCAATTTTGGCAATTGTCAGGAATTTTAGCAATTTTCAGGAATTTTTGCAATTTTCAGGCATTTTGGCGATTTTTGCAATTTTCAGGCATTTTTGCGATGTTTGCATTTTTCAGGAATTCCTGCGATTTTTGCAATTTTCAGGAATATTCGCAATTTTCAGGAATTTTCGCAATTTTCAGGCATTTTTGCGATTTTTGCAATTCTCAGGCATTTTTGCTTTTTTTTGCAATTTTCAGGAATTTCTACGATTTTTGCAATTTTCAGGAATTTTTGCAATTTTTGCTATTTTTGCAATTTTCAGGAAATAAGGAATTTTTACAATTTTTCGAAATTTTTGCAATTTTTGCATTTGTCAGGATTTTTTCCAATTTTCAGGAATTTTTCCAATTTTCAGGAATTTTTGCAATTTCTGCAATTTTTACAATTTTCAGGAATTTTTGCAATTTTTGCAATTTTCAGGAGTTTTTGCAATTTTCAGAAATTTTTCTTATTTTCAAGAATTTTTGCAATTTTTGCTATTTCTGCAATTTTCAGGAACTTTTGCAATTTCTGCTATATCTGCAATTTTCAGGTATTATCAGACATTTTTGCGATTTTTGTAATTTTCAGGACTTTCTGCAATTATCAGAATTTTTTTTAATTTTCAGGAATTTTTGCAACTTGCAATTTCTGAAATTTTTGCAATTTTCAGTCATTTTTGCGATTTCTGCAATTTTCAGCAATTTTCAGGAATATTTGCGATTTTTGCAATTTTTACAATCTTCAGGAATTTATGCGATTTTTGCAATTTTCAGTAATTTTTGCAAAAATGCCTGAAAATTGCAAAATTCGCAAAATTGCCTGAAAATTGCAAAAATAGCAAAGATTGCAGGAAGTCCTGAAAATTGCAAAAATTCCTGAAAATTGCAAAAATCGCAAAAATACCTGAAAAATGCAAAAATAGCAAGAAGTGGTACACCCGGTACATTTCTTTCTTGTTTGATGATGTATCTCTAATAACATCAGACAAAAGTGATTGCTGCCAAGGGTACTGTAGTATAGTGTAGTCAGTAGTGTGTATTTCTGAAACCTATACCGTTTTCATTTTGTTCCATAATAGATATCAGGATAAGAGGGACTCTTCCATGGTCTGAATAAAATAAAAGAATGATCCAATAACATTTTGAAAATAAGTATATGTAATGGAATTATTGACAGTCAATATTGACGTTTTATGGAGTATGAGGCATCACCTACATATTGTTCCATAGCTTTCAATGATTTTCTAACATGGCTGTATCTCTGTTGCTGTTTCACGGTCCACAACTTCTAATCGAATCAAAAACCTAACACGATTAAAGCGATGTTCAGACGGCCAGATTTAGTCTACTTGCACATTACATTAAAACTTTATTGAGTGGTAGAGTAGTGTATTGTTCCACTTTCCAGAAGGAGATATTTCCGATGGAAATGTTCAGAAACAGCATTAAGGATGCCTCTGAGACTATACAGGGTGTCCTGAAACAGACAATATTTCGCGGACTGTGTACAGAAAAATGATTCGAAATGATCGAACTGAAACTCTTTCTGTTTCTCACATAGCCAATGAGCGAATTAGATTTCGAACTCAGAGTTGCTTTGAATACATCTATTCAAAGAGTGAGGTTGAATTTTTCACACAGTCACCTACAAAAGATGCCCAACCAACTAACTTCTCTTCTCTACTTGAAAACTTGTTTTTCAATACCTTTATTTTCAATTATAGACATGAGGATGAAAATTCCCAGAAAATTTGAGACATTCTCAATTATAAGTCCCTGATGAGACTAAGACCTTTAATCAGATTTGGCAATGTTGCAAAATGAACTATCCAATTTTCAGAGATTCACTTTTAAATCCTCTAAGATATACCTTCGATATTCGAATATTTCTAGATAGATA